GCTATGTGAAATTCAATGGAAAAGTCAGCTAAACTCATATCATTGTGGGAAAATTCTACTACCAGTTCTTGTCACTGTTCATTTGGGTCATTTGGGTCATTCCCGCCGTCCCGGTCATGTTTTATGCATTTTGGCCACTTATTCCGACTGTGGGGCGTCTTCGCGCACCTCCGCAATGGTGATTTCGAGCCAGGCCTCATCCGGTCTCCGGGCGGCGCACAGTCCACTTCAGACGGAAGAAGCCGAAGCACTCACAACAGCCAAGCCTCACCGAGACTCGGTGGCACAGTGCGATTGTGTAGCTCCTCTTCACTCCGAGACGGCGGCTCATGCGGGCTTCTCTGGCGTCAGCTTCAGGCACGACCGACTTGCCTGCACAGACTCAAAACAACTAACGAACAACTCAACGCATACACAGACAAACGGGACTTCGAAGAATCCCTTAAGCGATTGAGCTTGGAGTGCCTTTCAGTTGGTCTGAGGTGGCGAGTGGTTAGGGTTTCGTAACTTGCTTCCACCCGAAGCGGTAGGAGGATTGTCTTGGAGCTGTGATTGTGGATTTGTGCGAATAGGTCGTCGGCCGCAAACCTAGCCACATTTGATAGTCCAACTTCGAGTGTGTGCGGACGAAGCGTGGAGCAGTCGCATCCAACTCCTAAAAAACATTTATCATCATTTTGTGCTCCTGCAATGTTGCCGCGTGTGCTTGCGTTCCATTGCATCTGCGCTGTGTTGATGCATTGCCCTCGAAACGAGTGTGATGTGGGAGTCTTGATCACGTCTCTTCTTGCTCGATGCTACTTTTCGTTGCTCCCCTATCTCTATCTCTTTCTTTCCCTCTACTCCTATCCACCAGCCACGGGTAGCTTCCGCTTAACTTCCCACGCTCATTCCTTCAGGTCGGTGTGTTTGCTGTTTTGCTCATCTCTCTCTCTCTCACACTCTCTGGCATAGTCCCCATATCCAGTAGCATACTCTCGCACTGTCGCAACTTTCGGCCTGCCTACTCAATTCTAGTCAAAATAATCAGAGTAGAAATTGTGCTAACAAAGCGGCAGCTACGAGAATATGAGACGGAAGTAGAGCTGAAAGCATCAGTTGGGCAGAAAGTTAGTTGTCTTTCCGAAGACTTGTAACTTGGTGCTAAACGTCTGGGAATGTAGCAAATTCACGGCCCGACGCAATTTGTATGC